GGTCACCCCGGGCGGGGCGGCCTCGCGCGAGGCCCCCGTGTCCCGCCGGGGCCCGGCCCGCACGTGGGCCCGCCCCTTCCAGCGCCGCCACGCGTGTTTTTCTCCCCCTCCGCCGTGTTTTTGGCACTCCGGAGGCTGCTCTTTTTAATCGTCGTAGCGACCGCCCCAAACACGTCCCGGGAGCCCTCGGGTTGCGCTCGAGGTGCTGCTAAACCTATAGATCCATATAGGGCCTGGAATCCTCCCCTAAACATACTAGCATTATCTTTATCTAACAATAATAACAAACCGCCTCTCACGTCATTATAAACCCCCGCTTTCTTTTAGGACTCCTCCTTGCCTTTAACACCGGGCGATGGGTTAGGATCAGCCGACCAGCCGCGCTCGGTCACGCCAAACTTCGCCCCTCTCCTCTTCTTCCCATACGTTAAGTCCCGATTAACCGCTTGACTTTCCCTCCGAGCGAGTCTTAATTCTTCCTTATCCGCTGCTTGGCAGCCCTGCTCTTCAAGCGCTGCCCAATTAACCGTCTCCCGTGGCGGGTTTCACTGGTTCCGCCTGCCAGAGGTCACATTTAGCAGCTTAATCTGCTTTGCTTCACGCTCTGGTGTTGAATGCGGCCGCTCTTAATCTGTTACGAATAGTCTTGTTGTTTGACCTTTCGGGGAAAACACGAGAGCGAGGAGCAGGAATTTGAGTGTAATCCGGCCGAGGGACCGGCCAAGGAGCACGGGATCCTTCCCTTTCCTCGTTAACACGGCTCGACTTGGAGCAGGGTGGCTTGGTGTTAATTCAATTATTGTTCCCCTATCTGTAACCTCAGGCCTGACTTCCTGGCTCTTGATCCCGGCGCAGCCCGAATCGTTCCCAAATCCTGGCAGTGATTCCTTTGCAGGAGACCTCCAAAAATGGGGTGATTCTGCTCGTTTTGGGTCCATTGCAGGGGTAGACACCTCTGTTTTGCAGCCAGCGGGTGCTGGGCAGGACTGAAACCGGACACCGGAGCTGCAGGCGTCTTTGAGGCTTTGGTCCTGCAGCTCCCTCGATTTTCCATGCGTGTGTGCCCGGGCACGTGATTCGGGGCGCGCGCGGAATTATCGCCCTGTGTTTTGCTGCCCGGAGCTCAGGAGGGTGAATCACACGCGGAGAAAACGCGTTGGAGGTTGTTCGCTCCTGGAAGCGGCGGGATGATCCCAGGCTGCCTCCTTGGGCTGCTTTGGACTTCGGTCCCGAACGAATGCCTGCAGCTCCCAAGGGAACTGCAAGAAGTGCCGAATGCTGCTATTCCCCGCTCCTAAACAGCTGTTTCCAGTGGGCTGCATCTGCCAGTTGCTGCCTCCAACAAGTTGCTGCATTGAAAGATGCACCAAAAATCTCCGTTTTTGCACCAAAAATCTCCCTTTTGAGAGAGGAAGCTGAGGCGCTGCAGTGCCGACTACCTGCAGCTAGACTCAACGTCCCAGGCCTGGAAATCGGGCTGAGGAACCGGTAGCAACACCAGTGCGTTTTCTTTTCCTCTTCGGCACTTTGAGACTTCGTTTTCTCTCTGCTCTGACGTTCAGCTGCTCCTTGTAAACCAGGAGGGAACGTGGGGACGGGCCAGCTCAGGTTGCCTCCGACCTTGGATCCTGCCTCTCCCGGGAGCAGCGAGGCGGCCCAGGAGTCCAAGGGCTCCGAGAGCTGTCCCCACGTGCCAGCAATTCCCCCGAGGTCATGGGGGATCTCCCAGCACTTTCCCTTGGGCTCAGATGTCCCAAGGAGGGACTTTTGTCAACCCTGTTGACCCGTCGAGCAGGTCCTGCAGGTCTCTGGGTTGTTTTTTTCCCTCCCTTCCTCGTCCAAATTCTCTGCGCGGATCCAAAAGCGATGGAGCGATGCGTCCTGGAGCCCTCATCCCAGCCCTTTGCCCGTGGATGGAGGAAAACTGGCCCGGAGCTGATTTCTGCCACCAGCAGAGCTCTCCTTTGCTGGTGGCTTTATGGTCAAGGCAGCCAAGCCGATAGCCCGCAATAAGAGATATTTGATGATCCGACCTCGGACCTGCCTTAAGCTCCCTCGGGAGCAGCGTTGGACGGAGCACAGGGGCTGCCGAGTGAGTAATGCCACAAAAATCGCCTTGGCAAGAGCCCTTTGAGTGCAGCTCTTGGCCAGAGCTCTCTAAAAAGGACAGGGAATTTGGGGGAAACACTTCCAAGCTGCGTTCACGGAACCCAAGTCGTTTCCCTGCAGCTCGTGCAGAGCTGGAAAGATTCACGGCATCCAGCTCTACCGGCTCTGCGGGAGGCCGGGAAGGAAAATGTGACTTTCGGCATTAAAACCCGGCCCGTATCCAGTTTTTTCCTTTTTTCCAGCCTGGGAAGGGCTCTCACTCGGGAGCAGGGCCGTAGGAATAAGCTGCTCCTGAGCACCTGGTGCCAGTGGGCTTTTTCCAAAAAAAAAAAAAAAAAAAAAAAAATAGGAAGCGCTCCCGCTCCATCTGCTTTGCGTTGCAGGATTAAGGCACCCAAGTTATTTCCTGTTTTGTTTGGGGGTTGCTGCTTCTTTGGCTTCACCAGCTTGGGACGGTCGCTCGGTCACTGCCTTCCCGGAGCCGAGTCCTTCCAAAGCCGTTCCTGTTGTGCTCAGGATGCTCCTCGGATTTGCCCGTTGTTCCCAGGTTTCACCTCATGCCCACGAGGCACCAAGCTTTTCTCACGAGATCTTGAGGATTTGCACGAAACGCTTCCAATCCAGCACAAAGGGTGGAGGTGCAAGGGCCAGTATGTGCCCGCTTCCTATAGGAATCTCGCAGGAAAGTTTTTTTCTGGAAAAACAGGAGGACTGTGCAAAGAAGAATTACAAAATACGGGATGCAAAGAACCCAAAATAAGGTGGAAAGCACTGGGGCAGCTTGATTCCTTGGGGGAAGGGGCAGTCTGGGCCGTGTTTCCTTGTGAAACTTGCTTCCCCTTGCACCTCGGGCTTTAATTT